TGCGCCCTTCCGGAGACACGGCCGTAGCCTCTACAAAAGTCAGGCCTGGGCCGCGAGTGAAGATACCTCCGACTACGAAGACGTGGATTAGTAGAAGACAGTCGGCACTTTGAATAGAAGGACGAACGATGTCCGGTATGCCACGGGGTCGCCATACCACCTTCACACGAGTATTGGCATAAGGGAGAGAGCTGTTTGAATCGGTCTTCTGTTAGTGAATGGAAACTCCATCAAACGGGCACAGACGCACGAAAATTCTGTTCTGAAATGTCACCCCACGGATGGTGATTGGCTGGAAGAGACTTGGAATAGGCTTTCCATCCGGCTGAGGTACGATAGCGGTACCAGCAGGAGGGTCCTGAGCAGGAGTGAAGAACGAGACACTAGGAGCAGCGACGACCGCAGCAGAGATAGCCATTTTTGAAGATAGAGGAGAATGGTGGATGTCGGTGCTTTATATATTTGTCGAGCATCGTTCTCAACGGGCTACAACCGGGCAGCAATGGAATAAACGAAATTCTGATGAGCTAGTATCTCCTCCAATTGCAAACTTTCAGAGCGGAAAAAAGGAGAATCGGCATCACAGCTCATAGTCCGCGAGTCCCTCTGGGCCCGGCCCGTTTCTTTTCCCAGTAGTCGCCCCTGAGCTGTATCAGCAGAGATGGCCAATCAATCTAGTTTTCTAGTTTTCGAGTCCATTGACAGGCAGCTATCCATATCATGTTACATGAACAAGTAAGTATTAACCTGTGTTTAGTAGCAGCATCTTAAAGATTATCCTGAAAGACGTTCGATATAAAGGGCGCTCACCAATAATTACTTAGTCTCCTCGGGCGGACAGCGTTTTGCCTACGCATTTGAATAAGCTACAATCGAGAAGCCTATCTCAGAACTACGCTTACAGTCAACGTGTGACATTTCGGATATGAATAACCGGTTGGTATCACCGCCTTCTGGAAGCTGCCCAGCTTGAAGTCTGAGCATTAGCATCCACCAGGCCATTGACCCAGCTGCAAGACTCCAGGTTCAATGATTGAGAAAAATATTGCAGCTAAATTTACTGATGCCCAGCGTCCGAGTCGTCGACCAGTCAATTGAGCAATGTAGAACGACGGGTAGAAAGAGCGAAACTATTTCAAACTACGAATAGCGTTAGTAATCAGATGGAATAGGTACCGTTGTTGGTGCATGGTCTGAGAAAGCGAAGCTGTTGGATGACGTAAGGGCTTTCTTTCAACTTGCTCGAAATGCACTTTCGTCCAATCCATGGCTTTACATCAATGCCCCGCTTTTCCAACCTCAGGTCTCTCATGTATTGGTATCATCTGTCGACTGATAGTGTCAACCCCCGCACTTGTTCTATCCATTTTCGAGCTCACCGGACTGTCTACATTCAACTTATCCTCAGGACCGACGGCAGGCCAAGATTTCTTGGTACGTTCGACATCGCCGTACTCTCTCTTCGTCCTCACCAACTCCCTACTATATGTCGTTATATTAGAGCTTGTTTCGGATACCGCAGTTCGCACCATGGTATTCCCTTTGACGGGGCGACAAAAAGTTGTTGCCAAAGGCTCAGCACTAGCTCATGGCGGCTTCCGGAGTGTGAAGAGTGCGAAGAACGTCGTAAAGACAGTAAGCGTGTTGATAGTCATGACCGCCGACCGCCAACCAAGAAGAGGACAAAAACGTTTTGCAACAGGGTCAAGCGTGTCAAACTGACGCTGTTGGAGGGGAGAAGGCCGCGCGTAGGGCGCCAGTGACGGAAAGAATCGCAAGGAGCACAATTGCATCACTGCATCGGCTGCTCGTATCAGCCAGGATCCCATTGAGCCGTGCGCCGACTGCACTCGATGATCCCAGATGGAGGAGACATCCAACAGGATGATCCCGCCACCGCCTGGCACGTACGGCGATGAGCCCACAGAGCAGGTCCGAGCGCAAAGCTGAGATATGAAGCCAGGAGACTCTCTCGTGCCAGAGCACGTCGCTCAATTCTCCGTACAGTGATTTAGAGGAGACTCCAGTTGAGATGGGGCAGATGAGAAGGAAAAAATCGCACTGGAAGCTAGTGAGGGTGAGCATGTGCCCCGTTGCGAGCCAAGTAGTCTTTTGAAGGTGGTGACTTGGAGCTCGTTCCCGATGACGGCGTGTGCTCAACGTACGAGCATAAGTGAGTCGATGAAGAAAGCTGACTAGCGTCCAGGAAATGGCGGTCATTCTGTCCATAGGAGGAGGATGTTGAAAAACATTTTTCATTGTGCCGGCAGCGGTCAGTGGAACTCTGATCAATTGCACTTTGAGAGAAAAAAACTTGAATCGTGTCCGCCATCCTTTGGTCACAAACAAAGCAGTTCCGGACGCTGGGAAGGGAGGGTTGCTGTCTGTTTATTGTGACCTAGATCCTGGTAAGACACGAAGAAAATCCCAGTTTCGCTGGTTATTCAGGGATCCGGACATGCAATCGAGTAATGCAAGCCTCTCATCTTGGACTGCACAACGGCAAGACCTAGCTGTGTCAGCTGTATCATATGGATAGGCTATGACAGTTGATGGTGCACGACAAATGCCGGGAAGGATTGGTCGACGCGTGAATGTGCCGACGGCATGTCCATATTATTTGAAAGGATAGCAAAATGACAAGATGATATCAATCTCCGAACAAATCTGCAAAGAAAGAAGGGTGAGTAAAATAAAACGGGCAGGAAATAGCCCATGTACCTTCCAAGGCTACTTCTTCGCAGCCTTTGCCTTTGCCTTTGCCTTTGCCTGCGCATTCCTCTTTGACCTCCTCCTTCTCCTCTTTTTCTCCAGCGTCGGCGTCGGCGTAGTCCTCGCAGTAGCCGTGGGGTTTGCCCCTCTAACCCTCATTCCGCCACCCTTCAACGTCTCCGTGACGATAGGACTCGCAGCCGGCCTGAACTTGAACTCTTCCGAATACCTACAAAAGTGAATAAGAAAATAACTGGAGTATAGACCTGGGCAGACCTAGTAGCATATACGACCTTGCTCTGCCTCGCCAGGTGTCGCTGGCGCGCAGTGTAGGCTAGCCAGAGGAGGAATCCGACGAAGATGAGGAGGGCGATGCGTTTGAGTGGGGAGAGTCGGGTTGGTGGCAGGGGGGCCTCATCGTCCTCCTCTTCAGGTTTTGGTGGTCGTTTGAGGTCGCGCTCGCCTTCAGTAGTAGTCTCGGACATAGTGGTTGTTAGGACAGAAGTATCGTGGGAAAACAGTTATTCCAGGTGCGCCTTGTGGCTGTGACAAAAGCCGTGAAGATCAAAGAGGAAGGGTATGAACAACTTATCTTCATACGGATCGTTGAGTCTGGTTTACGAGACCAGAGGAAGGGCAAGAATTGGGATTTAAGTCCAGAATATTTCAAGGTCAAGGAAGAAATGTGATCGTTATGTAAGGCCCTGCTGTATTTTTCTATGGTAAGTGCCTATGAATTTTATGGGTGTAATAGTGCGCAAAAAAATCGGGCACTGCAAGTACTAATTGAACTAGTACTAGCAGCCCCACACGTAACCAACGCGGTAGTGAGGGCTGTGCAACGTCGAAGTAGACATGACGAAAACGAGCAGAATGAGCGACATACGCGAATCTCAAGACAGAAAAATCCAGAGTAGTTCTGGATGAATAAGAGCCTACCGCCGCCGCTGCCAATGCATCTCCTCTACCGACATATCACGTCCAATTCTAAAATCTATCCAGATTTACCAACAGAGACGAGCTGCGCGAGGATACAATAAAGCTGGCTCGCCATGCTAGGCCGCCTTCCGGGTTTCATATCTTCTTTCTTTTGACCGCACTCGAGTGCCATCGTGTTAACTGAGCCCAAGCGGGTGGACGCGGTCACAGCCCTATTATACACTTGACTTCTTCAGGCGCGCGACCCAAGGACCTGTCAGTTCTTGTAGTCTTTCCGCATCTTTCGAGGCAAGCATCCATTGATTTCCTAGTATGTCTGTAAACCCTCGATTTGCTATTCACGCATTGGCTGTTTTTGAGCCTGGAAAAAATAAGTTCAGATTCAAGCAGAAGTATAAATCGACCCATGTAATGATCATGGGTGACCGTAACAGTGGCACCATAGTACCAAGGAACCCAGGTAGGATAGAGCACGCCTTTACGAGGCACTGGATTACATGCAGTTCTCAAGAAAGCCAGGGTCCGCATAATGGTTCTATCCCTCTTGATGATACTCAACATTGGTCAAGTCTGAACAGAGATCGAATATCCGGTACAGTGCGCCAAACGATATCTGCTTCACACCAGATATAGTAACCACCGAGTTCTTATCGTGAAATTCTAACTGCCTTCGTACACCGGGATCTGCCTTCAGCTGGAGGAACCCTTTTGACATTGATGGGATCCTCACCATCCTTGTACACATTGAAAAGGTACACAAACCGGCCATCATCGTAAAGGTATCCAAGGACGCCGATTTGGGTTTCACGGCGAACACAATCAAGAGGAAAGTTCGACGGTGGTTCTGAAAGCGAAAGCAAATATCCGTGACCCTGGGATAGATATCTTGAGCTCAGTGCGATAGTGCTGTCATGACGGGGAGACGGAAATGAAATGGAAGTCCCAAGATCCTAGACCTGCTGAAGCGGTGCGGGTCTTCGAGTGCCCATCGAGAGGGTCTCAAAACAGAGTAAATGTATTTCCCTTCGGTACCCTACGACGGCAGCTTGACCCTCTCTGCTTCTTCTTTTTATCCTGTCTTCATCAGTGCCAGGGCAGGGAATATTGGCAAGTAGAAAAGCGGTGGGAAGTTGGTAGCGGTACTGTAGTAGGAGTTACTGGTAACGGTAGGGGTATGCGGTATTCGAATTCGGCATCTGCCATTTCCTATTTTACGATGGTCCGCGAGCCGGATAATAAATGTAATCTTTTAATGTTAACAGTTATCGTTCACATCATGTCAGAAGCCAAAAGTTAAGAAGGCCCTCTTGAACGCGGCAAAAAGTGAAGGTAACATTACAGTCCACTTAAGGCACTACCAGGGTTCGAACCTGGGTTATGGGAATTACCAATGATACTTTCAGAATCCCATGTGCTACCACTACACCATAGCGCCAGCACGTCGCAGGCGACATCATATGTATATATCTACCTTTCAGTCGTATTTGCAAGTCACCAAGTTTTTCAACTGCGGTAGGATGAAATCGACAGCTGCTGTTTTTTTTATGACTTCGGCGCCTTCAAAATCTTCGAAAAAATCATCATCGAATATATTCCAATTCTGAATATTTATCATTTATCATCGACGTCGTCGAGTTTCAAGCTAGCGTCTGGAATTCACGGTCACTCCTCATCAAGTCGAAGCGATTCCAGGGCCATGTCGCATTTACCGCAACCAAGTGACTTTACCCCTACCTGTATGTTGCATTCAACATTTGCCTTGGCCTCGAGTCTCGTGCCCATCTCGTTCCCCTCCCGGATCCAAGACGTTCTTCTGTCCCCCTCTGCCAGCGCCCGCATGCTAGGATGCGCTGTTATAGAAGCCCCGTCTGTCCCGGGCCGTGATTATACTTGTATATCACCCGGATCGTATCTGCATAATAGGCTCATCACAACTTACGGTTAATAAATATTATATTTCATAATGATACTGCTACCCATTCAACAACATATCGACAACACGCGAAACGGAAAGCCAAGGAAACCCGAGATTTGATACGTTATATTAACGATACACCCTTGGTAAAGGTTCAACTTTTCTTTGACATGATGCTGGATTTCGAGGCTCTCCTGATCATAAGTAATGACATCTGTGGTCGCAGTGAACACATCAGCTACTGCATAACAATCCTCATACTTTCACTACGGCAGTCCACTTGATTATTACCGTATGGTAGACCAACGAGCTGGTAGGACCTTCAATTCTGAATCTATGAGTCCAAACGTTCCTTTCCTTATCGTATCCAAGTTTGCCTTCAAAAGCAGACGTTCCTGTCCAGTGATCATGGACGAGAGAACGTCCCTCGGTACTCAGGACGCGTCCATCCCAAAGATCGAACTTCCGCTTATGTATTCTCTGAGCTATAGCAAGCATCTGGGCCATAGCAATCAAATCAATCAGTTTAGCGACATACAGATACTTGAACACACAAACCTGGTCCTTGTCCCTCCCAATCGTCTCCAGCTCCATCTCAAGTTCTTCAAGGCGCTTCAACAGCTTAATGTTATTCGTCCACTCATCCTTCAGCACCAACAGCTGATTATTCTCCCAGTACCACCAATCCGAATGTCTGATCGTAATCTTCACCTTTCTCGGACGCATTTCCGCGATCGCACAAGCTCCCGGAAAGCTCCCCTCAAGCCAATACAGTTGTGTGAAAAAGTGCACGCAATCAACGACATTCTGCTGCTCCTCTGCCATCTTACGGAAGTATCTGGCCGGCTCCGCGCTTGACCCAAGCGGGCCGCGGTGACACCAAAACACATGCTCGTTGCCGATGACGGGTAGGAAACGAGTCTCGTTGTAGATGCGATGACACGTGAGAAGGAGCGCTGTATCTATGCGCCGACCATATTCGTATCCGGGACGGAAGTAGTAAGCATTACTAGGGTATGCTCGAGATTTATCCGGGTAGCTGCATAGAGCGAGCTGGAAGATGATGTTACGAATTTCGGGAGGAATAACGGAGAACAGTGGTGAAGCTGCTTGTGGGTTGCATTCTTCAGGTGATTTTGTCTGGATGAGATTCCGAGGCGGGACTGGTGCGGCTACCCGACGTGCACGACGCGCAATCATGATAGCAAAAGATAGCAAAAGGGTGAGAAGTTCGTGGAGAATTGTGAGACATGTATTGAAACACAGCATTCGGACTCGGAGGCAATGACTAGAACTGACGACCATGAGGAACTATCAATCACTCGGAAGCTTCGGATTTCATGAGGCAAGCAAAGCCACGCTATTCACTAAGGGATCTATGGAGTGTTCGAATACATTGCAACGGGGCTGGCAGTAAGTGACGAAATTGTACCTGGTACTTGATGTGGAAATGAGCAATGTGGGCGACAATTGAATAACAGAAGGACGGAGCAGAATACAAATAGAGTATGCAGAAACAAATGCGCACATATAGTAGCCGCTGAACTTTATGCAAAATATAATTCAGCATCGGTCGCGATAGATATCATAATCAGACCTGCAAAACTTCCCAACGCTTGTCTCCCTGACTCTCCCGTATTCCTGATCCCAAAACATATTCTCCTTGACCTTCTCCTGTTCATCCATTCCAGCCTGCTGTTCCAGTTCCAGTCCCAGTTCCAGTCCCTCGTATCCCTCCTCTTCGTCCCCCTCCTGACCAACAAAATAATCGAAATACTGCCTTTCCACGTCATAACTTCTGGATCTACGACATATCTCCCTCTCCCTCCAAGCCTTATACAAAGCGCCTAGACCCAGCACCGCCCCCAACAGTCCCGCTTCCTTCAGGAATATCGGGAACGTCCATTTCGCGATATCAACGACCCTCACAATCGCACCCTCCAATATCGCAGACCCATCTTCTCTCTGCAGGATAGCGTCATTGATGATGAGCATGATATTGAAGATGTTCGCCGGGATACCGCATATGATATAGGCGCCCGAAGGCTCCTCGTCATCACAGCATGGAAATATCCTCGCAAGCCTATCCTCCAAACATGGAAATATGTAGCCAAGGGCGAAGAGGGCATAGAACATGTAAACAACCATCCCGCCCATCGCCATTGACGGTGAAGCCGACTGGATCTGCGAGTGGACTCTATCTTGAAGAGATGGAGGAAGACAAGATGATGCGTAGATGAGCTCAAGAACGTAGAGGTAAGCTCCCAAGGAGTACCAGAGGTATTCAAGAATATCGTACATGTCCATTTGATTATTGAACCTAGCGATAAACTAACGGAGGGTCTTTTAAGAAGAGGAGGGCGCCTCAGACCTCCGTTGAAGCTGTAGAACCTGTGAATTTAGTAAGTAAGCTGTAGATGCGATGTCTATGATCAGTCACAGCTGTAGAAAGTTATTTACGTTCTTGCCCACACAGCAGATGGGTGATGCATATACTTCACATAAGTCATCATAGAGAAGCTCCCATCTGCCTCGCATCAACAATAACAGGATAGGACAATGCCTTCATCAAAGGGCTGTTGACCACGGGTACCTCAAAAGTTTTGTGTGGGAAGATCACGCGAGATCTTTCATCCATCCATGTCCAAACATATAACGCACTAGTCCGCACAATCAGATATGAAATCAATTGAATAGCAGCACCGCGAACTCACCTCTCCATTCCTTGACCCATAGAATATCTTTCACCATGAACTGGCAGCGATTTCACTCGTTCAAGGAAATTATCCCCAGTAGGCGTCGCAAGTATCATTCATGAGGACGATGGGGCATCATAATGTTCTTGGTCAATGAACACGAGTCAAAACTGCATCAAATCCCTGTCGAATTACGGCAAGAGTGAGTCGTCATCCTACCCGAGTCCCATGTCCGCTGTGAGTGTCTGTTTTAAGCGTCCGTACTAACTCAACAACAGTCTGGGGATACCATAGAGATGGGGTCGAGGAATGTGGGCTGGTGGTGGTACGGACCAGCGAAAGAACATGCACAGCCACTGATCGCTGGGGTGCTACCTCGATAACTTCATTTTGCCTCAGATGTACCTAGTTTTCAGGAACATTCAAGCCAACTGAAGCTAACCTAGGTACTACCAAGCCAATCCAAATTGTCTCAAGTTACAAAAGTTTGTGAATCGAAGCAATCACTACGCAACTTCAACCTAAAGTGTTTTTATGTGGCCATCAGGATTTTCACCCTCGCTTTTGGAAACCGCATGAACTCTCGACAACGTGTGCCGACAAACTACTCAGTGGGAGATGGATAAAGCATTATCAATACGTCGTGCATGCATCCAGAACATCGTCACCCGTTCCTAACGCATTACACCCCCATGCTTCTTCTGCTCATAATGATATATATCTGATGCAGTCCTGAACGCGACAGTATGATGATCTGGATACTTTCACTATGGCAGTCCACTTGACTGTTACTGTATGGTAAATCAGCGGGGCGGTAGGACTTGCAACCCTGGATCTATGACTCGTCCATGCATTCCTTTCCCTGTCGTGTCCAAGATTGCCTTCAAAAATAGACGTTCCCGTCCGGTGATCGAGAACGAGGGGGCGTCCATCGGTGCTCAGTAAGTGCCCATCCCAAAGATTGAATCTTCCAGCTGTGAATTCTCTCAGCTATAGCAACCATTTGGACCACGACACCGAGCTGGCAACTCAGCGTAATATAGATCGTTCAAAGCAAACCTGGTCCTTGTCCCTCTCAATCGTTTCTAGCTCCATCTCAAATTCCTCAGGGCGCTTCAACAGCCTAATCCCATTCGTCTACTTATCCTTCAGTACCAACAGGTGGCTATTCTCCCAGTACCACCAATCCGAATGTCTGACCGTAATCTTCAGCTTTCTCGGACGCACTTCGGGGATGACACAAGTTAATGGGAAGGTCTCCTCGAGCCAATACAGCTGCGTGAAGAAGTGCACGCAATTAACCGCATCCTGCTGCCTCTCTGTCATCTTACGGAAGTACCTGCCTGGCTCAGCACTCGACTCCGGTGGACCGCGGTGACACCAAAACACGTGCTTGTTCTCGATGACAGGCAGGAAGTAAGTCTCGTCGTAGATGCGACAACAGGTGAGAAGGAGCGCAGTGTCTATGTGCCGGTAGTGTTCATATCCCGGACGGAAGTGGAAGGTATTGCCGGGGTAGTATCATCTCGCTCTGTCGGGGTAGTCACGTAGAGCAAGCCGAAAGATGATGTTATGGATTCGGGGGGGGGATGTTATGGATATCGAGTATCCGTAAACTCGGTGCATGAGTCAACACATGCCTATACTCAGCATTCTCGGTCCTAGCAGTGACTCGCATGTATTTTCTCTTATTTTCTCTATTCTTCTTGCTCATACTAGAATATAATAGAACATTGTAGAATATTAATGACTCGAGCCCTTTAGTATATAAATACCGTCTGTAACATTGTATTACGAGGATGAGAAAATCGAATCTACTACTTT